ATTAAAAAATATTTTGCTAAATATCTTGATTTTTTTTTATTTAACGTTTGCAATTTAACACTGTGTTTTGAATATTTACTGATTCTTAGAAGTAATTAAAATTTTTATATATTTCCCAGGAAATGAGTCATATTCATACCTTTTTTATAAACTAAAATAATATATACCTAATCTGAACTATATATAATGAATAGCTACCGGGTTGTTTAGTAAAACTCATATATCACTAATTAAAAAATTAATTTTTATTTCCTTTATTTTGTGCAGAAGTTGGACTATATCATAAATAAATAGGAAATTTTAATATTGAATGAATTATTCTCTATGCACAAAGAAAGATATAAAGGGTGACCCTATAAGTTCTTCTATAAACCAAAACTGATTGTTTGGATTTGATCTCAAAATGAGGAAAAACGTGAACTTAAACGAGAAAATTGGAAAAATACATTAAGCGAACGAGAAAGGAAGTGCCAAAACCTCGGAATAGATAAAAAGGACCAGTTATATCCATTATATAGCTAAATGAATGTATAGTAGATAGATGAACAGAATATTTCAAGATGCTGCTAAAACGGGATCAATTGCAGTTTGGATGATATTAAGTGGACGATGTAGGTTTATTATGGTGAAAACCACTTTATTTTCGATTGCTGAAGGTGCACCTCGGGACTATATTAACTTTGAAGATGAATATAGAGATGTATATCGAGAAAGTTATAGCTCATAGCTTTCCTTCTGTTTAGTGGATTTTCAAAAGATTTTTTAAGGTATCTTATATTAGTTGTAGCTCGCTATTCTTCTCGTTATTCTTGAATTGTTCGGAATTTGTACCATATCATAAAAAAATAGGAAATTTTAATATTGAATGTATTATTCTCTCTGCACAAAGAAAGATGGAAAGGGCGAAACCAAACTGCTTTGACAGTTTTGCGCGTACATAGGCAACAAGCATATTAGAAAATAATATGAAAGGACTGTGGTTTTTACCTTTACAAGAAAGGAGATACTAGGAAATGTAATACCCATCAAGACCCATTCCTGTTTAGTGTATCAAACAAATTATACACAAGAATCGTAGAAGCTGGAATAAGAAATATTGTCGATTGCCAGAGCGATATGGATTGAGAAACTCAAGTTGCACATTGGAAGAGAAGTTGAAAATTGGGACTGTCTTCACTTTAAGGCAGGTTATAGAGAAGTCCACATTATTACACCTTAGACAATTATTTTTTAATATTTCTTCATGTTTTATTATTCTATAACTATTCAGCTTTAATAAAAGACCAACTATGAGGAAATTAAGCTTAATGCTGATTCTCAGTGACCAAAAAACTAACTAAAGTCAAAGTCGTCAATCCGCCATCTTTGGACGCCATTTTGGGGCAGTGCGTTCACTTTTTTTTGTGGGAACATTGGCTTTTTTTTAATAAATTGTTACAAGGAACACAACGATTTGCAATTTATAGGGATGTGGGGGGGGGGGGGTGCACGGTAAGGGGGTCTGGCCCACAGACTAAACAGGCTTTCAACTGACTGAACGAAGTTGTGTGTTCAGATGAGGTTTATCTAGAATTTAAAATGGTTACTAGGTTTAAGTCCTTCAGTTAAACGAAATTAGTGTTGCCCAAATGTGATACCGACACGAGTCTTGGTCTTGGAAACTCAGTCTTGGTCTTGCGCAAGAGTCTTGCAGTTACTTATTAGCTTATTACTATAGAGATATTACTGTAATTTTTTAGATAGGAGAAACCCAACTAAGCCCGAATGAAAAATTAGAGGAGTTAAATGCAAAAGTATATTGGTTATAGTAATTATTATCATATAGTAACTAACATTGTCAAGTATTACTAACTATTTTGCCTTAATTTTTATTTAAAAAATTGATTTTTTTTAACAGTCCTGGTCCTTGGTCTTGCAACAGTTAGGCGGCCTTGGTCTAGGTCTTGCAAAGTGCAAGACCAAGACCAATTTTGGGCAACACTAAATGAAATGGTCGGTAGCTCTAGCTAGTGTGTGTAGTCAATTAGGTAACAGACATCTGATCGAGTACATGAACTCAATTAAAAGACACCTGTTGTTTAACAGCTGTTGTTATTTAAAACCCCTAATTCATGTAATAGTACCATCAACTGCTGAAAAAAGTTATGTGACTATGTTTCCGAGACTACGAAATTGGCATAGCGTTTTCCCACACTAGTAGAGAATTATTCATCCTAAAAGATCTAAAGTACTAAAATTTTTTCTCAACCTTTCTTGAAACAGGTTTGCTAAAACAGTAGCTTGTTGCGTCGGGCACAGCCTGAAATGGTTCTATTTTTATGACTCTCAAGACTGAAAGCATTATGCATTTATGAGATGAAATAAATCTTGAGAAGTTGTCAAAAACCTTTACCCACTTCTCCACTCTTCTTCTGTATTTCAGTTCACCCAGTCTCCTTCAGCATGAATTTAAATTAGGAAAGCCTATGTTATTCTAGATATACATTCCAGAGCCGCTGCTTTTAAATATGGCGACTGATTTAAAGAATATTAGGCCAACAACTTGATGATCGAAACGGGAAATATATTAAATATTTAATAGTTGACCGTTGCATTATAAAGGAAGGAGATGGTCCGGGGTTGCGGTCATAAATAGGCTAAATAGTGGTAAAACTATTTTATTAAAAGCCAACGTTTCGACTCGACTTTGCAGGTCTTCTTCAGGACTAGAACGGACAAGATACAAAAACATAGAGAATGTGGAAGATACATAATATTTGGACAAAAAATTATAAACAATGTTAATAAGCTTATTAAAATTATAAACAGTAAGTAAATTAAAATATAAACAGAATAAGCTAAGTAACAAGATCCTAAACTGAAGTAAATAGATGGTAACAATTGTTTTAGTGTAATATATAATATATGTAAATGTGAATTTACTTCTACAGATCTACAGGAGATATTGAAGGAAAAGGGAAAATGATATAATATGAAATAATAGACATAAAGGAATGCGGAGAAAGAAAATGAAACAAAAAAGAAAACCAAAAATTAAGTAAATGAAAATAGAAGAATAAAATTAGAGACTTACAAAGAAATATATTAAGAAAAAGTTTTTATTTTTTTAACCTGTATGTATGGGTTCAGAAATAGAAAAAACAAAAGTTTTAATGATGGTCATCAAGGGAAAAATGTTTACAGTGAATAAAGGCAGATTTTTTCATTTTTTTTTTTTTCGCGTATGCCTCCTGAACGGCAAAACGAAGCGAATGGTAAATAAATTAAAGAATGATAATGAATTATTGAAGGAAGTTTATCGACATATCATGGGTGATAAATATTCAGAAGGCAGTCATTATAAAGCTTTTTTATTGGTGCCGACGTTTCAACCCAAACATGTGGGGCATCATCAGGGCATGTTTCGAACACTGAAGGTATTTAAGTACTCAAATGCCAATAGGTATTCCAGACTTGAATACCTCTAGTGCTCGAAACACGCCCTGATAATGACCAATATGTTTGCATTGAAACGTCGGCACCAATAAAAAACTTTATAATGACATCGTCCTGAATATTTATCACCCACAAAGAATGTTCAATTGTGCGTTGAACATGTGCCTAAACTTAGTAATTTGGTTAAGTAATATAGTCGAAAACCACGATCAACGAACTCTGGTTTTTATCAAATTCGTCAGAAACTAAGACAGACTAATATAAATTTCCATGCAGCACGGAAAGGAGTTCTCTAAGCGAAAATTTTCATCTCAGTGTTACATGTGTTTTTTTTCTCTTTGATAACTCTGCACTGCCATTTATAGTAATTTGTATTAGTTTTTGCCAAATCAGTTAAAAATCCACAATAAAAAAGTATTAAGTTTCAGCACTCGTTTATCGCACAATTAATGTTCTTTAATTTCTAAACATTGTGTTTTTCGCTTCGATGTACCGTTCAAGGATTATAGGCGAAAAAACAAAAATATATCTGGCTTTATAGGCTGTGACAATTTGTCTCTTAGTGGTCTTATGCGTTAAATAAATAAAAACTTTTTCCACATTCCTCTCAATATATTTACCGTTTCAATCCTCCAGGCTACAATTGTTAATGAATGTCAGAATTTATATGAATGGGAGTCTCAAAGCAAAGATAGGGACCACTATTTAATCCATTTTTTTGGAACTGTGGTTCGCCTTTATTGGAATATATTTGAAAAGAAAAATCTAATTAGGAAGTCCACTAATATGTTGGTGGGCGTGAGGGAGAGGATTGTCCTGCGGCTTCCCTTCCTGTCTTGATTTAATATTTATGATTTGTGGAGGAGATCCCTCATCCAGCTTCTTTTGAGTCTATTACTACGGGTGTTATTGGGCACGTTGACTGTGGTCAGGAGTCTCCCTCTTCCCCTCCCCCAAGATCGATGGCGCATAATCTTCCCCTCTCCTTTCTACGAAATTTTATAGCTGTCCTTTTCTTAAAAAAAAAAAATATAAGAAAAAGGAGACTTAGAAGAAATCATATTCAGTTACACTTGATGTTGTATCGTCCATGTTTTTTTCTTGTCCCCTGGTGAAAACTTTTCATTCAGAAAATTCAACACTGAAGACCAGTGCCCCCTCCCAAAAAAAATTCCAAACCCTGTCAAAATGTACCCCCTCAAAAATTTGAATGGTGCTATGAAACTCCCTTCTGGGCACTTTGGAATAAGCTCGTATGTGGTTGATAACTGATGGAATTTGTAAGTCTTTATGTAAAGTATGAAAGTTATTGATTGGAAAGTATGAAATTTAATTCATATTTTGGAACGTAATAGGTTTCTAAAATTAAAGTTCTTTTTAAATTAGATATTAAAAATTGAATAAAGTGACATATTGCTCCGAAATAGCCCAAAACTGGACGGTGAGGTTAATATCGATTCTGAGGCAAATCGATAGTGTGGCGAGGGGGTGGAGGGCAGTGGGTCGGGGGGCGGGGTGAGAGGTGGTGGGGGGGACACCGTTAGTGACGTCACTACAAGCCCGCCCTTCAGTAGTGTGCCGTCATGCGAGTGAGTGAGTGATCATGTGCGCTCTTAGGTCTGGATTCTCGTCGGCGTCCAAAGTCGTCATATACTTCGTGTTTGTCATCAGGACTATACACTCACAAGGTATGTTTCTTCTTTATTTCAGTACGAGAAACTATTCAGATTTGAATTATAATATTTTTCAAAATAACCTTTAAAATTTGATGATAAGATGCATAAAAAAAAAAAAATTGTTGTCCACCGAAATGCGTATGAACTGATTCAAAAACATGCCATTATTAGTGAAAATATACATTCAAACCCTGGTATATACAATTTGTTTACCTTATGTTAATGTTATGTTTTTATTTAATCATTAATAATAAAAATATATATTAAAATTCACAAATATCCCATCTCATGGTTTGGCCATTACTTGCATAAACCACGGCCTTCACTGTCTATTTGACAAGGTGGAGACTTTAACGCCTGACTTTCATAACCAAAAATGAACTGGACCTTTTCTTATTCAAGGTCGATGAAACTATCCGGTTATACCTTTTACCCGCTGCCTTATTCTACAGTTTGTGAGACATTTAATGATTGAATCTATGTCAACTATTAAAGTGGTTTTTTATGTATTTGCTTAGCCTATCGTGGGGTTCGATGTCGATCAGACCCGTCCTATTTGATGAATAAATATAAGTAAATTTTGTAATATCTTATAAATATAAGATATAATATTTTAATTTTGTACTTATTTGTTATTCTAAAGGGACTTGTTCCAGAATAAAATTACTTTCTATTCTATTCTAAATTTGTGTATGTGTGTATGTAAATAATCATGATGATAGATATTTTATGTAAATCATCTATGGTATTATTCACTCATGGTGTTTCAATTTTTTATTAATTGCAGTAAAACTTCAATTGTAAGACCTATTTTTATCTGGTCCCTTGATACCTCTGGCTCAAATTTATAAGATTGTTCCAAATCCTTTGGTTATAAAAAAAATTAACATTGACTTAAAATGCTTCCGAAATATTATTATAACGATGTTATATTAATCGTAATTACATAACCTTATTAACAATAAATAAGTATTCAACTGATCGACTATGAGTTTTCCAATAGAAAAGGCGTAATCAGAGGGTCTCAACTCGCATTATCCTTATTACAAAGTATTTTTATTAATAATATATTTTCCTTTAATGTTATGATTTAAGGTAGTGCTAAAATATGTATGCTTAGAATTGTGGTTTTGAGTTGTTCTGTGAATAAATGTAAAAGTAATTTAATGTATTAACTGATGGTTATGAGCTACCGTACATTTTAGTTAAATTTAATTTATATTCAGCGAAACATTGAATAAAAATATATTAACCAGTGTAAACATATAAAACGTGGATCGATTCTGTGGTCGATTTACCCTCCTGGTGCTTACCTTGCCTTGTGGGCATCATTAATTAATTAATTGGTTAAGAGATAAAAAGCCTGTTGGATGAGCGTTATCCTGGCCCGATCACTTCTCTGCACAACAGTTGGCCTATAAACAGTACTTCCTTACAAAGCTCTGAACCCAAGATCCTTCATTTTCGATGAACGTAGTACTTTCGACATAGTAATCATTTTTAACAATAAGAATTTTCTTGATAAGTATATGTGAGATACTTATACCGATTTCATGATATTTAGTAATTTAAAAAAGGAAAGATTTTTTAAAAATTGTTTTAGTGGTAATATAATAAGGGAGGAAATGATTCGGGGTGTTAGTCGAAAAATAACTTAAAATAATGTAAATTGAATAGGAGAGATCCTTCATCGTACATATAAACTGTCAACAATTAATTCTATCTTTTTTTTTGGTATTTTGCTGATATTATATCTTTCTTTTTTATTTAACAATTTTAGTAAAGTCAAATACTTACTTTTTTTTATATATGAATTAATAACATTGTACAGAGCCCCTCAAAAAAAAAAATATAAATAATTGAAAAATAAAACTTCAAAAGTATTGATTTAAAAATCTAAGTAGGCACAGGCGGATTTACGGTGGGCTTTGGGGCTGAAGCTCCTCTCCCAAAATGGTAAAACATAACCATTTTTTATGTGAAGATGTATTGAAAAATGATCTCTTAAAGTATTATTGTTCGTCTAATTACATTTAAAAGGACTTTAGGAATCATTTAAACACCATTTCATATAGGTAGTTAGTTTCTTTCTTTTTTTTTCAAAGTAATTGTCGTTATTATGAAAAAAAAAAGGTTTCGGACTGAAGCCCCCCCCCAAAAAAAATTAAATCCTGGATCCGCTAGTGTAAGTAGGTAAGCTTTTTGTTGGATTGCTCAGTTTGATATGGCTTGATATTTAATGAATGAAATTAAGTATATGAGTGACTTTTATGGACATGTGAGTGACTAAGGCAGATAATGGTGTAGTATTATTGTCTTATTGAAGAACAAGAAGAAGAAATGGCCAAACTATGTAGCGGCGGTAGTGGTGCATAGATCCGGTGTTGTCACTAGGATTGCAACAACACCAGGTTACATAAAACAACACGCTCACTTAACAATACCAACACCCGAAAAAAAAACCAACTTTACTTTTAAGTATAAATTATAAACTATAACTTATTTTTTCCTTTCATCTATTATATAGTTACTGACTTTTCTGGAGTATATATTTTGTATTAAGACGTGTTTTTCAAGAACGTTCTATTTTTTCTCTGAAGAAGTCCTTTGCAGGAGATATTGGTGAATCATTGAGAGGATTGGAAACTCTAAGAAATAAATCGTATTGATAATAATTAAATTAAGTTTTTTGTTTTCTTGGGTGAACTTTGATTGTTCTTGACTGGCAAGGTTTTAGAGATATTCTATAGATATATTATAATACTATTAATAAAGATACAATAAGTATGATTCCTGATTTTATATAGATATAATTAATACGAATTTAGCTCTTGAGGCAGTGTCGAGGGATCTTGGGAATACTATGATGAATTATCTCATAAAAAAGAGAGTGAAGTTTGTATATTCAAAACATAATCGTTTGAAGAGGATTTTTTTGCTTTGGTAGAGAGATCTATCATTAAAAAAAAAGTTTTTTTAAAAATTATTTTATTGAAATTTACAACTGTAAACATATATACAAGCAGTAAATTTGCTATAGGAATATATTACATGGAGGTACTTGTGAAGAAACTACCCATTATTAACACTTCAAAGATAAATTAATTTAGTAGGTCTCTTGGCCATCTTCTTTTCAGACGCCTCGGAGGGTTGTCAGGAATTGTGTTGGATGAAAGGTTACGAACTAGAGGATTGGGGTGACCACAGAGTTTGAAATGAAAAGAGGTATATCTAGTTCGGGCTATGTCTTCCGCAATAGGAATGTTGAGGTCTTTATGGATAATTTTATTTGTTACATAATAAGGAGCATATAGGATTTTACGGAGGATTTTGGATTGTAAGGATTGGATACGGGAAGAATTTGATGTTTTTGTAGAGCCCCAAAGCTCAATACCGTATGTCCATATGGGCCTGATGATGGTAGTGTAAAAGAGTTTTTTGTAGAATATTGGAAGTTTAGAGCGTTTGGCAAGTAAGTGTTGTAGTAGTCGGAATCTGTTGGCAGTTTCTTGTCTTTTAAGTCTAGTATGAGGATTCCAGGTAAGGCGTTTGTCAAGAAAAAAAAAATTGAAATGAATTCGCTATCTCTTATAACTTTATTTATATTTTTTGCATTAGAGACAAACTTTTTCCATTCAAAGAAGAAACGTGTTAAAAAAATAAAAAATAAAAAATAAAATGTAACAGAAGTTAAAATATTCTACTCGTGGAATTATAGATTTAGTCATTAAAATATCTTCATACCTATCGATTTGTTTACAATATTCAGTTCCTACATATATATATCTGATCCATCTGGTATACATAACTTTGATATTATTACACAATGTAAAATTGTGGTCCTTTAGATACGTCACCCGAATACGCCAGTATATTGTATAATTTCCAGTATTCAAAACTATTCAGGCGTTTTGCTGGATGATTATCAAAGTATATTGTTCTTGTTTCGAAGAGGAATTGGCCACTAGAAGGATAGAGTCAGTGATCTCCGCCTCTTCGCCTCCCACGCAGACCGAGGTCCTTCTTAATGACTGCTTTTTGGAGCGACCACTTCCCAGCCGACCGTTGAAGTCACCGCACTGATGAACGTTAAAGTCTCCTCAGTAGTTAGTTGTTACGCACTGGTCACTTTTCCAGGTTGTAATAACCATGCACACATGATGACACCGGTTCATTGTGATTATTGAGCAATAGCGTATACCGGAAGGAAACCGCTACTGTTGTTATTTTGGTGTAAACATTGTAGGCAGGTAAACAATGTAGTGAATATCATTATTTTAATTTAATTATTATTTAAAAAATTTAGGCAGGTAGTTGTCGCGTATTTACTCACGTATTAAAAAAAAAAATTACTCATCTTCCGATTTTGCATCTATTAAACCATTAAAATTGTAATTATATAGCCTTGACGGTGATAGAATGCAACCTAAATGAAACTTGCTTTCGATACCACTCTCTATGTTTTGTTAAATCAAGCCTGTTCAGCCTGTGAAAAATCTAAATCGTATCTTTCTACCTTATCAATTCTACAAAAGCCTTTTTGTATTTATTGGCTGAAAACCTTTTAATAGTTATGGCTCTAAGCAGAAATTTAAAAACTTAACTCCTGAAGTTGATAATTTGTTTAAAAGTGAAACTGAGAACATTTGTTAAACTGATTTATTTATAACATGAATTTGAAATATATAGATATACAAATAACGAATAAATGTCCAATCAAATCCTTAAAGGAAGGCCTGAAAAATAGCATAAAAAATTAATGAACAAAAAAGAAGAGTGAAATTAGTAAATTATTATTTTATATTTTTCCTAACTATTCGGATGTAGGATTATATTTCAGTATGCTCAGATATTATATGAATATAGTGAATATTATTATTTTAATTTAATTATATTCATGTATATTATTGTAAAACGTATTTTGTACATTCAAATGTTATTAGTCCCTTATTTATTAAAAAAATAGTTGATACATTTAATATTAAAGAATTAAAAAGTTAGTATTTTCTCAT